GCATCTCACACTTGCTGCTTTGGGTTTAGTGACAGTCACATGACAGTAAGTCAGGTGCAGGAACGTGCTGGTGGCCGTGGAGTGGAGTGGGGACTCCGCCTGTTCCCCCCCCCTCCTCTCCCCTCCCAGCCAGTGGAGAAGCTCCAGGTGGCAGGTGGGAGTGTCCTGTGCCCGGCTGTCCCCTCTGGGCCAGGCCTGTGAGTCCAGAGGGTTCCCACCCCATTCCCACTACCCTGTGCTTTTGACGGGGACTTCATCTCCCTGACCCCACGCTCCCGTTCCCACTGGCACAGGTTGGACTTCCATTCAGGGTCCACTGTTCCCGTTTCCTTGGGGACCTTTCAGGGAAAGGAGGCAGAACCCAAACTGGACAGTCGGTCCGGTGTCTGTCCCACTCCGCTGCCTGCTGGCCGGGAGGCTGCCTTCAGGCCCCACCGCCCCTTTGGACCTCACACATGAAGGGGTCTGGCTGATTGATGGCCAGACCCCTTTCCGGGCCCAAATGGCATGAGGCCACCAGGCCAGGGTTCCTACATCCTGGGTGGGGCTGGGGCCGGCGAAGGAGCAGCCTGGAGGGAGAGGGCCTTGTGGGAGGCTGTCTCCCAGCGGGTCCGCTGCCCACACCAGGCTGAGGGCTCACTCAGCCCCGAGTCCACCGGTGGCAGCCAGAGTCATGGTGTCCCCAGGGTCGTCACGGCCTGACAAAGTTCTCACTGCGTAAGGTCGGCCCAGAGACCAGAACAGATGCAGAAACGGGAGAGCGGAGGGGCCGGGCAAGCAGAGCACAGAGGGTCCCCGGGCTCCCTCCCCCCTGGCTCTGGGTCTCAGGTCAGACCTGCACTTGGGCAGCTCAGCTGGAAGGGACCCGTGCTGCTCTGCTGCTCACTTGCAAATCGGTAGCAGCTGCCTCCTGCTGGCTTCCGAGCTGTCCATGCAGTTTTGCCCCGCCAGCCCCACGTGCCTCTCAGGAAGATGTCCCCATGGTCCTTTTTTAGAGAAAGATCAGGTGGTCACCGTCGTCTTCTGTCCTCTCTGTCACGCCCCCAAGCTAGGCAGCCTGACTCAGTGCAGGGTCAGGCCTGGGTGGACAAGGGCTATTTGGTGTGACTGTGACCAGTCCTTGCCCTGTGCACCCTACAGTGTCCCAAGCCCGGGCGGTCCTTAATGACACAGAGATCCTTGTTAAGGGCATGCAGTTGGTGCTCAGTAGTTGTTTGCGTGGCTGGTGAAGTGCACGTCGAGGAGAGCTGACAGGCTGCTGCAGTGCCGCAGCTTTGTTTCCAGGCCTCCCTCCCCTCCCCTTGTGGCATCTTTGGGGTCCCAGCTGTTAATTACATGTGCCCAGGCGGCCCGAGGCGCTAATCCTCGAAGTCAGGCGGCAGAGGTGACACTGAGCGCTCTGCCTCTTGTCATCTCCAATCCGCGTGCGTCCACTGACTCCTGCCGCATGCCTCCAGTTAATTACAGCGATCACGGCCCTGCCGCCCCCACCGCCGCCCAGAGAACGGGGTCGGGTGGCCGCTCGCTAATTGGCGGGTGCGTGGTCAGGGATCGATGGCGTGCTCCGCTGGCTACTGACAGCCCGGCCCCAAGGCATTAGGCACTAATTGTGGATGGCCTCCCAGGCGCCCCCCACCCCAGCCCCCTCATTCTTAGAAAGGAGGCTAATCCGGAGACTAATGATGGAGGGCGGTGTGCAGGGAAGAGAGCGGGCAGAGGCCAGGTGGCCCTGAGTCTCCCAGGCAGTTCTACAATCCCCTGGGCTGTCGGGTGCTCCTGCTCCCCAGGGGGAATGTAGGCGCCTCCCTCCCGGAGGCCCAGAAGCTGGTGCAGGCTGGGGTTCAAGGTGTCTGGTCTCCTCTTCCTTCCCTAAGCCCTGCAGGACAACAGTCTATCTGGCCTTCGACCCCAACTTGGCCTCCGGGCAGCTGCAGCCTCTGCCTTAATGGGTGGGGGCTCTTAGTATGTTTATTTCTTTACATTTTTGGCTCCAGAGCATGAATATCCACCCTCCCTCCACTCACAGGCAGAGTTTAGACAGGGTCACCCAGAGTGCAAGCTGGGCGCACAGTAGGTCCTTCGGGCAGCCAAGTATCTGAGGCTTTATGTGCAGTGGTCACATCAATACCACTCACAAGGTGATACTCCCAACCATCCGTTGATGATGATGGATCAAGAAAATGGGGTCCCTTCACACAGTGGAATATTACTCAACCATGAAAAGGATGCAGGCCTGACAGGGTGCCGTGGGGTGGACCATAAAAACATGCTCCGTGCGAGAAGCCGACACAAATGGCTGCGTGTCATATGGTCCCGTCTCCGTGAAAGGCCCAGCATAGGTACATCCATGGGGACAGAGAGCGGCTCGGTAGTTGCCAGGGGCTCGGGGGAGGGGAGAGTGCTAATGGGTAGGGAGTTTCTTTTGGGGGTAAAGAGAACATTCTAGAATTGATTGTGGTAATGTTTGCCCAGTTGTGAATATACTAAAAACCACTGAATCCACAAACTTGATATGGGGGAGTTCTTTGGTGTGGGAGTCATATCTCAATAAAGATGCGACAAACCGCCCTGGCCGGTTTGGCTCAGTGGATAGAGCGTCAGCCTGCAGACTGAAGGGTCCCGGGTTTGATTCCGATCAAGGGCATGTACCTTGGTTGCAAGTGCATCCCCAGTAGGGGGTGTGCAGGAGGCAGCTGATTGATGTTTCTCTCTCATCGATGTTTCTAACTCTCTATCCCTCTCCCTTCCTCTCTGTAAAAAATCAATAAAATATATTTTTTTTTTAAAAAAAAAAGATGCCACAAACCAGGAAAAGGAGATTGGTAGAGATTCCATGGAAATTCCTTTTTTAAAGAGCAAGATCCCTGCCTAGTATTTTGTATTTTTCCAAAAATTTAAATGGGCTTTTTATCCAAATACTAGAGGCCCAGAGCGTGAAATTCATGCACGGATAGGGTCCCTAGGCCTGGTCAGCGATCAGGGTCAATCTGTGGGGCGATCGAGGAACCCCCCCGCTGGCACCCGCCTTGGCTGGCCTGGGGCCTGCAGGCTGAGGGCAGCTCCTGCGTTGAGTATCTGCCCCCTGGTGGTCAGTGCACATCATAGCAACCGGTCGTTCCACTTGTCTTTCTGCCGTTCAGTCGATTTGCACGTTAGGCTTTTATTATATAGAATAAATTCCCACAAAAGAGTGCACAGACCATATGCGTCCAGTGAGACGAATTTGCAGAGTGAACCACAGGCCGGAAACAGTGAGGCCCCGCTCCTGAAAAAAAAGAGGGGGGTGGACAGCAGGTACAGCTGCATTCAGACCCTGTAGCTGCGTTTCTCATTTTTCATCTTCACTCGGTGGTGTTGCTGTGACTCCCTCTGTGCCTGGAGCTCTGGCTGCTTCCTGCCCTCTGTGCCTGCTCTATCCTGACGCCACTTTGGTGGACGCCAGCCCTGTTGTGCCAGGTACAGACCCAGGAGCAGGATGCCAGGCCAGGCCCTGGGCAGATAGCAGAGCCTGAGGACACGCAGGCTGTTTCCCAGAGTTGCACAAACCTGGTGAGGGTCTGGGTGCCATTCCCTCCCAGCTTACCACCAGGATTTCCCCCATCGGCTGTCAGTGGACGGCAGCCCCCCGGCCCCTGGGAGCCGCTGGGTCAGCCCCAGCTTGTTTCAGAACCTCGGAGGCCTCCCCGCGGGAAGCAAGGCCGCTCCCGTCCTGCCCTGTTGGCTGTCCCCTGGCGGTAGGGCATCGGACCAGGAGCCTGGGAGTTTGCCCCCACTGGTGGGGGCAGAGATGGGATCTAAACCCCGTGCTTGGTTCCAGGGCTTGGTACAGGCAACTGGGGGTTGCCAAATTGTAGGGTGTGGTCGTGGTTGCCTGGTCCATCTGGAGAATGGGGACAGCATCCCCCACATGACTCCTCACTGCCCATCTGGCCGGGCACTGACGGGTGGGAGCTGGGAGTGAGGGGCCTCCTGGCCTGGCATTGTTCCAGGGTTGCTGAGCTGGGCAACTCTTGGGGCACAGCCTGTGGGCTGGGTGGGGGCAGGTCTGGCTGGACTGGGCGTCTCCCTGTAGAGCTGCCCCATACAGTTGTACAGGCTGCGCACAATGCCAGGGAGGAGCCACACAGAAGAGACCCGGGTGGGAGCACCTGGCTCAGGGCCGAGCTCTGTCTCCGTGGGGCCTCCTCTCTGAGGCCACTCTGCCTCCTGATCACGTCACTGAGGCCGCACTTGGCCGGTCGGGGCCTCTGGGTCGGAAGGGAGTGAACCACGGTAATTCCTTCATCTCAGTGATACCTTGGCAGCTGCAATCATCCGCGAGCCCGTGAGCCGTAGGCCGCCCTCTAAGCTAAGGGTTTATTTGGTAACATGAGAGTGGCCACTGGAGATAGTGTGGAGACCAGTGTCCCTGGGACCGACACAAGTTCTGAACAGATTCGGGGAGGATGCCTGGAAGCTGATGGGATTTCTCCTTCCAGAAGGGGAGGTCGGTGCTGACACCTGCTTCCGCCGCTGCCTCAGGGCTGCAGGTGCCCCGAGTGGGGTTCTTAGAGACAGAGGTGCCCAATTGTACATCCTTAGAGGGGTCAGCGTTTGCCCCTTGAGTCCGGATGTGAGATGGGCATCCCCAGGCTGCTACTCAGGACTGTCAGCAGCAGCCTTTATGCCAGATCTGCCCAGACCAAGGCTGATACCCAGAATCCATACGAGACGCGTTCAGGTGCCAGCTCTACACCCCTGGCCAGCGGAGCACACAGCCGCCACGCTCAGGCAACCCTGTGACCATGCGTGCACAGTGCCAGTGGTGGGACAGGTGTGCCCTCGCCTGCCTGATGCCTGGCACTAGTTGAATCTTGGCTGTGATGTGATAAAGCCTGGGGGTCTGGGTGCTGCCGTTTGTGGCTCTCAGATGAGGTCTGGGTCTGAGATGGGGCTGGAAGCCTGAGCCGAGCGCTGACCCGGCTGACTCCACGCTGAGGCTCTGTGTCCTTCTCTTGCAGGGTCTTCACTGAGCAGTGAGTCGTCCCCTGTGTCCTCTCCTGCCACCAATCACAGCTCCCCTGCCAGCACGCCCAAGCGCGTGCCCATGGGCCCCATCATCGTCCCCCCCGGGGGCCACAGCGTCCCTAGCACGCCCCCCGTGGTGACCATCGCCCCGACCAAGACCGTCAATGGCGTCTGGAGGAGCGAGAGCCGGCAGGTGAGTGCCCGGGGCACGCGGTGGGGGTGACCACAGGCCCCAGGTATGGGAAGGTGGCCTTCCACAGGGGAGGACTGGATTGCGGGGTTCAAATCCCTCACTCCCAAACCCCTGCTCTCCTGGGCCTCTGTCTTCTCTGCAAAATGAGGTGACACAGAACCTACCAGGGGGGTCCATGCAAAGTAAGTCCATTCGTGGGTGTGATTTTCCTCCAGCTGCCACCACCCAGCACCGCAGATGGGCGCTTCCAGGTGACCTTGCGGTTCTGGAGCTGGGAGTCTGCCCTCAGGTTGTCGGGGGGCTGGCTTCTCCGGGGACCGCTCCCTGGCCTGTCACAGCGTCTTCTCCCTGTGTCTTCGCCTGGTCTTCCCTCTGTGCACGGCTGTGTCCTGATCCTTTCTTATAAGGACACCAGTCATGTTGGGTCAGGGCCACCCTGATGACCTCATTTAACTTCACCGCATCTTTAAAGGCCCGATCTCCAAATACGGGCACATTCTGAGGTCCTGGGGGCTGGGGCTCCCACATGAATGTGGGGGGACATAATATAATTCCACCCGTAGCCCCATGTACAGTGCTTAAAATGGTGTTTGCATATCACCGGCACCTGCTAAACAATAGTTATTGTTATTATTACCTGTTGCTCAAACAAGGAATTGAATGCAAAAGCGAGCCCACATTTTCACGTTTCTATCCTAACTGTTGGCACCCGTCAAGGTGGCCCTTCCCAACACGTGGGGTCCCTGTGTGTGGCCGCTGCCAGGTGACCTGCCTGTGCAGACGGAGCTGGTGGCCCGGGGCTGACCCCTCCCACCTGCTCTCCCCCCACACCTGGTGCTCCCAGCCCCAGGAGCCCTTCCTAATTAAGAACGCTGTCACTGTGCTCCTCCTGGATTCTCCTGCCAAGCTCCCTGAGGGATGGCACCACTTGGAAATACTAATTAAACCACAAAGAAAGCAGAGGGGAGGGGGGTCTCCCACTTCGCCCCATCCCAGCGCTGCTCTGCGGGGAGGGGGTGGGCATCAGCGTCATCAGGCTCCGTCTTGTTTTCTGCCCCGGAGGGTGGGGGTGGCACCCGCCAGGCAGGCCCTGACCTACGGAGGGGGGGTCCCCAAGGCACCCATGGACACAGCTGTGGCCTGGGACCCCCGGGTGTGGCCCTGCCTTGCCCCCACAAGGCCCCCTGTGCTGTGACTGCCTAGAAGCTGCTGCCTGGACGTGGTTCGCTCGCGCCACCCTGTGCGCAGCTTGGAGACTGAGGGTCAGGGTGGGACTGGTAGGCAGATTCCGGCCAGAGGGGTTCGGAGCAGCCATAGCTGCCCCCTAGTCCTGGTTTGAGGGAGGACAGGGGGTCTTTCCCAGCGTCTCCCTGGCGGCCACCTGGCGGTCAGCCTTGACCTCCGGCCCAGCCACCTGGCTCAGACAGCTGCGGCTCCTCGCCTCTCCCCTAACTCACTCGGGTCCAGGTGGTTTCTGCATCCTGTTGTGTCCCTGGCTGGTGACGGCTGCCACAGCCCCAAGTGTCCCCTTTGCTCCCGCCCAAGAGGGACCCAGGGCGCCTTGTAAACAGCCCCTTCCGCTGCAGGCCCCTCCCCGGCTCCGCGCCCAGAAACATGTGCTAACCCCAGAGAGGGCCGGGCCATAGATCTGCTCCAGCCATTGGCAGGTAATGAAACACTAATGCCGCAGGGAGGCGGAGGAAGGGAGCTGGATTAGCGGCTGATGTATGGCTCATCAGCTCAGCACAAAGGCTCGGGGAGAATGCAGTCCTTCTGGGGAGGGGGCCCGGGGAGAGGCTGAGGGCCGGAGAGAGAAGCAGCTTCCTAAAGTGTAGCCAGGAGTCACGGGGGCCTCCTGCGTGGTGGGGGGCCGGGGGCTCTGGACCCCTTTGCTGCGGTCACTCAGATTCCCCAGGTTGTCGGAGCTTGGAAGGGACAGATGAAATGAAAAATCGTCTATTTTAAAGCTAACAGGGCATGTCCTGTCTGTCTGACTGGAAGCCTCTCTAATCACCAGAGAATGAAGGATTTGCCTCCCTCCCTGCCTCCCCCTCATTCGTCTTTTCTTTCATCGCTACAGCTGCGCCTGCAGCCATGCAGCCGTGGTGCAGAAATAAAAGCTGCCCACAGACGCTCCTCGATGCGTGCCTGGCTGCCGGGGACAGCAGGGGGAGCCCAGCCGGCACTCTTGGGGTGCCTTGGGGTGGCAGCTGAGCCTCCTCGGCTTGGCCCGGGTTGGGGACTGCTGTCTGGGCCCATCCCACCCTGGGCAGCCCTTGTGCGCCCTCCAAGCCA